CCATACATATAGGCCTACATATAGGCCATATTTCTGTGCTGACAAGTTGTGTAAAATATGAGATGTTTAATACCCTGGCTGCTGGACTTAGACATGTAGCACAGAGCTGGCCTGGAAAGGCCCTGAATGCCTTTCTAAGGGCTTTGGCCATGGGAGGGTGGTGTCGCATGAATATATTGGAGCATCAATACTTGCAGTGGCTTACAGCAAGGCTGCTAAGACTTTAACCTGCATCAGAATCCTCTGAGGGGCCTGTGAGAACCCAGGTTGCTGAGCCCCACCTCTTTTTGTGATTTCATAGGTGTGGGTGAGGCCTCTAAATGTGCCATTGTTGCAGGTTCCTAGGTAAGCATATGGTGCCCCTCAGGCATCACACTTTGAGAACCACTGGTTCAGACAGTAAACTGAAATACCAAGGGCAAAGTCATTGAGATATGTTTTTGAGGTTATTAAAATATCAAGACATGACTCAGAAACATAAAAGTCATTACCTGGAATATACACATAATGATCACTATTCATCATTTTTGAGAACTTATTACATTCATAGGGTTAATGGTTTCAGAGAGACCCTCCTCCTGTCTTCACTAATGATAGGACTCTTACAGTCACTGAGTAATACATAGACAGAAACTCTTCTGGTGCCTTGATAGAGTTCATTAATCCTGATTTGAAGGAATACATATATTACAAAGCTTTGAATAAGCTTAACCCTCTCTGCATTGGGCCACCTTTCTCTATCTCCTCCCAGCTCCCCACACACACCGTGTAAGAATGCCACCTGCTGATGTGAGCAACACTGACTTATCAAGAAAACAGAAGATGTATGCTACATGCTTTTTTGTGTGTGTGGCGGGGGCAGTATGTGGGGATTTTTGTCATCTTGCTGTATTGTCATCTTGTGACCAAATGCCATTAATACCCAGTGCCCGGGAAATCATTTTACTATATTGTGTTCTTCCCAGTATTTGGGATATGCACTTTATTAATTGATTGTATAAAAATGAGCATCTTTTGTAAAGGCCACTGTGAGAATGAAGAATGACCCCTCAGATTGTGAGGTGGGCTTGCAGTGGCATTTTGCTCATCAGAGATTTCAAATATGATTCAACATTAATGAGCTGTGAAAGCAACAAAGAAGAAGAAACCACAGGCTAAATCCCTACAAGATAGGTGTCTAGTTCACCTTACTCTAATTTTGTTCAAGGCTATTTCTGCTGAGATAGATTTAAAAAGAAAAAATTAGAGTGTATTTAAGGCAAGCCCATTTGGGTCACTCTTCCAATTGCTCCCTCAGAATATCCATGATGTACCCTGTGCTATCCTAAGGCACAGTGAGGAGCAAATGAAAAACCTGGCTCTCCTGAAACTCACATCCTTGTCGGGAAGAGAGACAAAAACAAGGCTATATTTGGAAAGGATAAGCACAGAATACAAAACAAATGAGGAAAAATGAGAAAACAGTGTCAGGTGGGGAGGGGAGGGATGTAGTTTTAGGTAAGTTGTCCCAGAAAGCATTACTAAGAAAATAAGTTCAAGCAAAGATTGAAGCAAGGGCACTAGTCATGTGAAAACCTGGAAACGAGCATTTCCAAAAGAGGACAAAGCACACACAAAGTGTTCTCAGCTACTCTTGTTGTGTACATGTCTGCTGTGTCTGTGCAGAAGCAAGGAATTCAGACAGTTGAGGAGAGAATAGTTGGAAATGAGGCCAGGGAGGTGGTAGATTATACAGAGATCCATGTAATTCATTGAAGGAACTTGAACTTTTACCTGAATGAAGTAAAACCCCTTGGGGAGGTGTGCCATCTGAACTGGCAGCTGCCTCATCTTATTTAATTTTTAGCAAGACCATTTTGAGCAATGTGTTAAGAAACAAAGGAAACTATGGGAAGAGGGGCATGTGTGTAAGTAACAAATCAGCAAGGAGGTCATTAAAGAGATCTAGGCAGACATGATGGTGCTTGAAAATGTCAACAGTGAAGCTAGTGAGTAGTTGCTGGACTCCCCATTCTGGAGATTTTGGTAGAAAGAATTTGCTAAATGTTTATATGTGAGGTTTGAAAAAGAAATGTTAAAGAAGATACCATATTTTTGATTGGCCTTATTGGGATAGGGAAGGGTATCATGTGTGAGTAATATTAATCTCAGAAAGGTACCATATTAAGTGTGAAACATATATTAGATGTCAGAGAAGGCAGAAGGATATATGAGGTTGGACTAGGGAGAGAGATGAGCATTGTGAGAGTCACTGCATATAAGTTTAAAGTCTGAGATGGGATGAATTCTCTAAAGGAGTGAGTACAGGTAGAAAATAAAACATGTTCAAAAATTAATCCCTAGAGCACTTTGATGCTTGGAGGTCAGGGAATGAGAAATCCCAGAAATGTAGGATAAGAAGCCAAGTAAAAAGGTGTTAGAAGGGAAGGAGAGCTATCAGTATGTCAGGTTCTTGCCAAAGGTCAATAATTCAAGACCAAGACTTAACCAGTAGATTTAGCAATATGGAGGTTATAGGTGAGCTTGGTAAGAGTAATTAGGGTGGGATGATGAGTAGATTGGAGTGGATTCAAGAGCTAACAGGAAGAGAGAAATTGATGATGCCATGAATAAACTTTTTAAAGGAGCTTTGTTTTATTGGGAATGAAAAAAAATGAGTAGTAACTGGATGGGAAAGGAACATCAAGAGATGAAGATGACAGAAATAACCTGTTCAGTACTCACAGGAATAATGAAATAGAGGAAATATGTTGATGATGTAAAGAGAAGATAAAATTGTCACTTTGGAGGAGTTGGCCTTAACTAAGTAGTGATGTCTTTTCCGGGGAACAGGAGAAAAGACATTCAGAGCAGATGACAGAAAATGAGTAGCCATGGCCAAGGGTGTGTGAAATGTTCTGATAGGTTTCATTGAAAGGGCCCCTGGAGAAGCCAGCTTTCCTTTGAGCACAGGTGAAGAGGAAGTTCCTGGCAAGAGACAAAGATCTATGGTATTTTGTTGATGATTGACCAAGAGTCCAAGAGGTGCCATAGAAAGAGTTTAGGAGAAAGGATGAGAGCCAAGGTCATCAGAGTCTGGATGAATGGGAAACCCTGGCTTCTAGGGGAGCCTTTCTGTGTAGTCCTCTCCTGATAGAGCAATCTCACCAGTGAGGCATCTGCATCTGTCTACCCTTGGGTCTTCAGTGTGGTTCCATTAACTTTCAGACCCACTCCCCTTCCAGGACTTTCTCAGACACCTGGTTAGTGTCCAGCTGAGGCTTGGCATTGTCATATTCTGGCCACAAGGAAGCCTGGTCTCTGTGGGTTGTGCTGGCCTTGCTCTCTGTGCCTCCACAGGGTCTGACGAAGGGCACTGGAGAGGAGCCTGGCCGGCTTTTGCCTTGAGAACTGACTGTAGCTGCAGAGCACCTGCACTGTTGGTCACCTGATGATTTCCTGTAAATACACTCCTGTTTTGTTATGGAAATATTTTTCAAGGAAACTCATAAGAAAAATGACCACAATTAAAGTTATTGTAGGAAATGAATATAGAATGAGAATGATGAAAATAGAAAGTGTTTGTCCTTGTATAACCCTCAGATATGTCACTTGCTGCTCTGGGAAGTGTGTAAACCAGGTGATCCTCCCCATAAAGCCAGCTGAGGGGTCTGCTGCCATTACCACTCTTTCCCTACAAGCTGAAGAATTCTGTTGAACTATTTTGTTTGCCAGGGCATTTTTTAATGTGTGGGTTACAATTTCCCATTCACCGACAAGGTCCATGAAAAGCCAGGGGGTAGGAGAATGAGGAAAGTATGTGCTTAGGGAGTGAAGAACAGGGGGCTTGTAAGGCTCCTGCAGGCAGTGAGGGCCAGCTTAAAAATTGGGGTCTTTTTTCCATGATCAAAGTAAAGCTGTGGAGGTCATCAAGGCGGGAAGTGGAGTGATCAGACTTGAGCATTAAAAAGTTCCCCTGACAATTGTACAGAAAAGGATTGGGGAGAGGCTTAAATGCAGTCTTGGATACCTGGGTGGGCTCTGGAAAAATCCGTGTAAGGCCTAATAGGCTAGAATAAGAGGATGGTGATGTCAAGGATGGAAGGGTGGAGCTCCAAGAAATGCCTAGAGAGCAAACGGACCCAGACCCCTGCTTACTTGGACTGTGGGACTATGTGGATGTTAAGAGAAGGGAAGTGAAGAATGGCTTTGACATTGCTGGCCTTTGTACCATGGTTGTTGGTGATGCCAGTACCTTGGGATGTTGAAGGGGGAGAATATGTCAAGTACCATGGTTTTCGACAAGTCTAATAGAAAGTTCCTATGTGACATCCAAAGAATCCTGTTTCTTGGGTCCATGTGTGTGAGCTCAGGAGAAAGGAGAGAAGTGGAGCCTGGAGTTCCAGAGCCAGGAGGCTGTGCTTCAGGTGTGGTTGTATAGGCTGATGTGTCTGCCCTCCTCTGCTTGTCACTGTGATCGGCTGATGGGCTACACAGCTTTCACCACTATGCTTTATACTAATCTGCATATTATACAAGTAATTACAGAGATGAAGTATGACTGTTTCCCTCTTTTTCTTCTCTTTATTCTCTCTCCTCCTCCTTTTTTCTCTGATCCCCCATTCTCATTTTTTTACCCACCTGTCCACTCTGGGGGTCTCTGGCGACATACACCCGACATTCTATGTGGGTACACCACTGTACTGAAAAGGCCATCCTTCAGGATTTCCTTTCTGCAGCCCAGGTGGAGAGTTTAGGGACACTTTTTGTAACTGTTTGAGAGGTGACCATCTACCTCTCACAAAAGCACAGGCTGCTTTTAGGAAGATTTGGGAGCCAACAGTGCAAATTACATAGAGTATAACTATTATTTATAAGTGTGCAACTAAATTAATGTTTTCAATTCTGGAGAGGATTTACATGCAAATCACTTTTAATTTAATTTTTAAATTATATTTTAAAATTTTCGTTAGTTTTTCCTCTAAATAATGCTGATTCATTTTTGCTTTCCTGGTTAATAGATTACTGTCCTTGATGAGACATGGACTGTATTCAGGCGTTACAGTCGTTTTCGAGAAATGCATAAAACATTGAAGTTAAAGTATGCGGAGGTGAGTTATGAAATCATTATCTCTAATTAAGAGCATTCATTTTGTAAGGTAAATGAGCTGATTGCATTAGCAGTGTCCTCTCTCTCTCTGTCTCTCTCTCTCTCTCTCTGTCTCTCTGTCTCTCTCTCTCTCCTTTCTTTGTCTCAGTATTAGCTTATATCACCCTTTTATTTCATTTGTTATCAAAGATAACCCTTTAATTTTTTTCCTTTGTTCCTTTTCTACTCTAGAGAATTTAAAGCTTCTCTGAACTCAAGATCTTAGAGATAATAGTAAATAATCTTCATCTTTTTCATAAGTTTTATGATTAATTTTACATAAATATTTTAATCAATTTACAACTTAACCACTGTAAAACCTATTAAAATGAATCATAATAGATAGATCCCTTGGTATGGCTCTTCCCTTTTTTCTCTTAAAAGAAGTCACTCTTTTATGCTTAGACACCACTTAATGAGAACTCAGGTCATAAGTTAGTTTGCCATCAGCCGTTGGAAAGGGGAGATGGCATCAGGCAACTGTGTAGCAGGCAGATCTGTTGAAATGATCAGGATCTATTGCTGGGTTAGTCATCTTTTCCTTTTTGGATAAACACTGGCTTCTAAAATGACTTTCAATATGGAAAAGGATTCCTAGATTGAATGTGTATTTTCCAAGTGAATGTGGTGGTGATGATTTTCATCTCAGCCAAAGAAGGAAGCCCTGGGTAGGTCCAGCACTTCCGGAACTTTGGTTTGCATGGACTGCAAATCACTTAGCTGTCACTGTCTTCTTTCACTGGGTACCACTTCTCAGCACAATTATTTATACTTTCTTTTGGCATCCTAAAAAAATAATTTAGTAAGAAATTTGTCCCTAATTGAGTCACATTAAATAAATTGATGTTTCATTAACATCAGTGTGGCTTCTACCCTTTCTAATCTGGTGTACAGTAGAGAAAAATATGTTTTTATAAATAAAATGGCTCCTTGATGTATTGAAGAAACTTGCATCCAGGTAGAATTAAGCTGGCTCTCTGAAATCCTGTCACCCAGCTTGAAGACATTTCTGGTATGTTCAGTCAGTGTTCCAGGGGAGCCCCCAAATTCAAGCTAGTAAGTTTGTTTCTGTAGTTTACCCCCCACATCCCAAATTGATATAGACAATAAAAAGTGGACACAGTATATACAAATTAAATGCGTAGAGCAGCTTGTTTTCAAAGTGAGCTGTGTAGCTCATTAACTACTTGGTTATGAGTTAGTGCATTGGTTCTTTAATAATATGTAGATTTTTCATATTAACATCAGTGAATTCCCAGAGTAATACACGAAAAAGCAATTTAAAAGAAAAGGATGCAAGCTTTATACACACACATACAACTTACTCCTTGATCACACATACTTCTTATCTGTTCTATGTTAGTTTAACTCATTCCATCTAGGGATGTTTTTATTCTAGATTCCAGTAAAATAATAGTGAAAAGAATAAAAGTTTCTTTTATACATCTTAAATTCATATTTAGAGAGAAACTAATAATAAGGAAGGTTAATAACATATTTAAGAGTAATCATGTCATTTTAAGTAAGGTTTGTGCCTTTTGTGAAAACATGTCAACATAGTGATGAGGCAGATGATGTTAGACGTGAGTATAAAGTCACTCAGGGTTGAGCTCTTTTTGACAAGATAGCTTTCTAGTTAAATGTGAGCTAAGAGGTATGTAAAAGAGTTGATAAAGCATCACTGCACATCTCTCATCAGTGTTTTTAAAGAAAACATGAGACAAATACAGCAGAAGCAATCTTTTATGTTAGAAAAAAACTTACCCCCACTTGTCAAGAATTATGGCACAAGGTGTAATCTCAGCACTTTAGAGGCTGAAGCAGGGGAAATCACTGAGTCTCAAGACAGCCTGGGCCATATAGTGAGTTCAAGGCCAGCCTGAGCTACATAGTGAGACCTGCCCCTGCCAAGCAAAACTTACCTCCAATTATAAATGGTGTGAAGTTGGAAATCATAGTGGTTGCCTGGTAATGGAAAAATTAATAAATGGAGATTATCACATATGTAAAAATCTTATCAAGGATAAAAGTTCATTATAAACATTTTGTAATCTCCAAATGAAAATCAAACCGAATTCATTAATTCCTTCACAAATGTATATTGAGCATCTCTGCAGGACTGATGCAGTTGTGATCAAGACAGCTTGCATTCTGTCCTCTCATAAGGTGCAAAGAGTCAACAATAAAAATAAGGCAGTTTCAGAGAATGCAAAGTGCCCTACAGCAAACCACAAAGGGTACTTACTAGTCATGCAGTGTAAATGCTGAGCACTGAGCTGCTTTCAGTAGAGCAGGCCTTTCTGAGGAGGGGTTTGAGCTCCTACCTGATTCTTAAAATAGAGTAGGACATGAGAATGAGAGGTGAACTTTGAGGTAACTGTAAATGCTGAGGCTCAGCATGGAACCAAATGTGCTGTGTTCCAAGAGCAAAACCCAGAAGAGCAGCAGGAAGAAGGGCAGAGGGCTAGCATATGTTTGGACCTTGAGCTATACCCTCAGTGTATAGGGAGCCACTGGACAGTGTTAAGGTGTCTAAATGATCCACTCTATGCTTTATAAGACCATTTTAATGTCTAGATGGAGAATAGATTGTTGAGGTGGTAGAAAGCTCAAATCCAGAATATTTAGATGTTAAATTTTGAATGTTTTTAAATGCCCCATGGGAAATATCAAGGAAAACAAAGGCTATAATCCTACACTTTACAGGAAACAATATTATGAACCTTCTTTTATAAAGAAAAAGCATTGTTTAGATCAACAGTGAGAAAAATGCTTCTATTTTTGCTACAATTTGTAGTTAAGTTTTGGTGTCCAAACCATTATATTCATGATTTCTGCTCACAGGGACCCCCTTTCCTGAAGAAAGACTCAAGATTGAAATGGTAACTGAGGGAAGAAATTCCTTTTCCATGTTGACTTCATTATTGTGACTAATCTTTTATCCTAAGCACAAAAAAACTGAGTTATGATAGAAAACCCTGAGACCCAAGGGTGCATGTGTGTCAAAGAGATAATGTGAGCAGTGATTTGTAGTCACGTGGAAGTCTCTTAAAATATGCACTGCATATCACAAGGGGAGCTGTGCTGGTCACAAACCTTGAGGAGGCTGGGCTGATGCCAAGTGTCCTTCAGTTCCCACCACTGTGACATTTCCCCACTATGGGCTGAGCACCTTCCAGGGACCTGATGCCATGCTCTGCATTTCCTGGGGTCTCCTGCAGATGGCACTGTAAGCATAGGCACTGTTACCAGTTGAGGGTGAGTGCCAGGAACAGATTGCGTCCTGTTACACAAAGATGAAGGAAAGCCAGTGTAGAAAACCAGACAGTTTCGTTCCATGACCTGTATCTAAACCAATAATACCAAATTAGAATTTTTAAGTCTGTAAAGAAACTAGCAGTTCACCTAGATCTAGATGAATCTTATTTCAGGCTAAGGAGCACAACCTTATCCGTTTAGCATTTTTTGAGAAGAAGCTTAAATATCAAGTTGAATATCAGCTGTGTACTTTTCTTTTTTATGCAGCTCAGCCTCAGAGCTGAGAAATATAGGCTGGGGCTTGAGATCAATACATTTATTAGGTATTTGTAAAGTATTATTGCTTCCTTTAGTGCTCATATTACTATCATCTCTGTCTATAATGTTAATCTTGATATCATCATCTCCCTGCAATTGGTCTGTTTGGCCTGAAAACATCCTAGGAATCACTTGACTTGTTAAAGGATAACTTCAGTAAAGCCATAAGGCTGCTATGGAAGGGTCATGGGAGTTTTCTTTCATGGCCAGCTGCTTCTTAGTCAAGGGGGAATGTGTTTTATTTCTCTAGCTACTCCACCAGATCGGGCTTATTGTTTCTATGCAAATAGAAAATTTATTTTCATCATTACAAAGATAACAAAATGTTTACTGATAATTTTTAAACTGTGTGTATTAAATTCACCTAGTCATACAAACCTCCAAACTTTACATCAGATTGAAAAAAAAAATTGAAGAGTACATTGGAACTCAAACTGTTCAGAATCTGAAATATGCTTGCCAAGGTAGAAAATCTTTTTATTCACAGCCTCTGTAATGTTTTGGAACTTTGTTTAAAATTATATCTTGTTCCTTCGTACTTCCTTTTGGAGTCTTAACCACATTCTCCTAGGGGATATGTTCTAAAAGTAGTTTGATGTGACAGTTTCCTTTGTAGAGATTTTTTTCTTTCAATAATCTTTTTTCCCAAATAATAGATTATATGTTCATGATAAAAATTTGACATTAAAGGTGTATGTGTGGAGAGAGAGAGAGAGGGAGGGAGGGAGGAAGTGAGAGAGAGGCTGAAAGTTTGTCTTAATCTAACCCTCAGAGGTATCCATTGCAATACTCACCAGGAGGTCATCTTGGGTCTAAGTGTACATCCAGACACATGGCTCCCATAGGCCACATTCAGTGTTGTGGTCCCTGGGAAGTTTGCACAATAGGAGCCACAGCTCGCTGTCAGGATAGAGGCTTGGCAAGAGCCTCCCAACCTTCTGCAGCCATCCACACAGCTTTCTTTGAGCTGAGCCCTTTGTCCCACCTCTCCCAGGTCATAGCTTAGGTACATGGAGATAAGACCCACATGGGCAGGTTCAAGAATTTCTCTGGCCAAGAACCCCATGCTGCAGGGAGGTAGGACCTCTTGTACCAGCTTTATAAGTAGAACTGCCAGAGTCCTAATGAGAGACACACAGAGCTACCTGTCACCTCACCTGGAGAAGCTTAGTATAAAACTAATCACTGTCCTAAAGCACTTTATCAGCATGGGGTGTGTGTGTGTGTGTGTGTGTGTGTGTGTGTGTGTGTGTGCGCGTGCGTAAGATCTTTTTATTTACCATGACCAATGTTGGCTTGTAATAAAGTCGGCATATCCCCTTATCAGAGTCTGGAATCCTGCCTGACATTTGGGTACTTGCCAGATTTTTGTGTCTGCTTTTTTAA